GTGGTTGCAGCTCCAAATGAGAATGACCCTCAAATATGCGACCGAATCAAATTTGAACATCTTTCTGGTGGGAAAAGGTAATCGAAAAAATCAGGTACAATATTTGTTTCAAGTTAATCACAAGATCAGATTGCTGAAAGTGTTGATTATCTCCAGTAAAATGCACCTTCTTTCAAAGAGAGGAAATTTAGCTATAATTAAATTAAATACGTTTGGAAGAAACAATTTTATACAAGTGGGAAGCCAAACAATAAAGAGCAACTAATTGATAAGTAATTTTAGCAAGTAAACTACCGCCTTTAGTTATTTCCAGAACAGCCCACAAAGGTACCTCCCATGTAACATTTATGGACAAACAATTAACATTTCATTATTTAAAGCACGCAATACCATTACCAGTAAAAGAATAAACTTGATTAAAGTCTTACAGCAAACAAAAACTAATCTTACCTACAAAGATTAAGCATTTTTGAAAAAAGAAAATCATAAATTGCCAATACTCTTTGATACAAAAAGTCAGCACGAATACCTAAATTGAAGTGTCCTAAAAATGTAAATTCAATCACATCCATTTATTTCAAACTCAAAGCCTTATGAACCAGAAGATACCTTGCAGAAGCTGCAGAGCTACTCTGACCGAAACCAGCGAGCAAATCATCAAATAAAGGTGCATCTTTTTCCGCTTTCACTCTCTCGCTATTCGCCTTCATCTCATTCTCTTTTCTTCCCAGATTACCAAGCAGATCATCAAACGGAGAACTATTCATCGACTTATGCTTACGCGGAGACCCCGAGACTGTGAAAACGTCGTCATACTTAGCAGCCGATTTGGTAGAAGAGCTCTTGATCCCAGGCAATCCATCGAAAAGATCTTCATCGTAAACAGGCTTGTCAAAAACCGGCGCCTTCGTGTCCTTGAAAAAGGAATCGTAATCAAACGACGACGTTTGCGCGCTTGTTGCTCGAGACTCGGAGGAGTATTTTCGCTGTCCACTGTAGACGTCGTCAAATAGGATCCCGTCGCTGTCCTTGTCATCGAAAATGGAATTGGACGACGATTTGGCATTGCCGTAAGATGATCGGGTAAAATCGGATCCGAATCCGTAACTGGAACCTGAAGAAGAAGGTTTTTTAGGAGGCGCCATCGGGGCCGGCTTCCCTTGGGGCTTGATCCCAAAATCTTTGGCTAACAAGTCCGGAAAATCATCCATTTCAAATTGGATTCGTCGATAAAACCGGCGGTTTCACTAGTTTCGTCGCCGATTTACCGAACCGCTCTCACCCCTTATTGCTGAGAAAGTTTAGATCTGAGCAAACATAAGGGAACAAAAAGAAAAGGAGAGTGAAAAATCGATTGTCAAATGCTATTTTTTAGTAAAAATATGGAAAATGATAAATAAGTTTGATTTATTAATTTTTATTTGAAAAAAGAAAAATGGGCAGCGAGAGAGGGAAGGACCGAAGGAGACAAGCAATTGCGTTTTGGCTGTTTGTTTTTTCCTCCTCAACGGCTTCCCACTCATGTTTCTCTGCCGAATCCCGGACCGGTTTTTATTTTATATTTTTGCAATTATTTTAAAACTGTTTTTTTTAGAAAAAAAATATAATAAAATTAATGGTATCTCAATTATAAGATATTATTTTGTTAAGTCATTCAACTGTTAAAAATTATAAAACAGTCATTTGACTATTTGTTATGTTCCAAATTTGTCATTTTAAATTAAAAAAAATAGCAGTCATGTGAGTTGGACGTTAACATGCTAACTGAGATATGATAGTCGTTTGAGATTATGAGATCGGATTGTATCATATCTCAGTCAGTATGTTAACGTACAACTCAGACAGTCGTCAAATTTTTAACGAAAATGATGATTTTTGAACACAATGAATAATCAGGTGACTATTTTATAACTTTTAATAGTCAAAGGACTCAATAAAATAACACTTTCTATTGTTGGAGGATTATTTTTATAATTTCTAATAGTCAAAAGATTTAATAAAGCTTTATCTTATTATTAGGGTACCATTTATGTGCTTTACCCTAAAATCTTATCATTGCTTTGCTTTTGAATTTTAACTTTGGTGCTTTGCTTTTGCCGTAGAAACCTTGAAGATGTTAATATTTGTACAAAATCCACAAAGTTTTGATTTTTTTAAATTTTACCCCATCAACATGAAGATTTCGAAGTTAATATATTTTTTGGTATAATTTGTTTACAAGTTCCAAGTATTTTTTAAGCTACATGATAAATTTAACATATTATATTATTTAGCTATCATTTTAAACAAATTATTTAAAATCATGAAATGAGAAGGTGAGGGAAGAATTTGTAGTTATTTATGCTAAAAATAAGGGTAAACTACGCAATTGGTCACTAATATTTGGGTAAGTGTTCATTTTCGCCACTTATGTTTGAAAAGTCATAAATTGGTCACTAACGTTATCGTTTGTTATAAAATGATCATTCGACGTTAACAATCGTTACTATGAGTGACGGAAAGCTGATGTGGCACGTTAATATGATATTTTGGCATCATTTGACCATATTAGACCATTTTGACCGACCCTTTTTCTTTTTCAACTCAATCGAAACATCTTTGGTTAATTTTGCATCTTCTTTCCCCTACTTTAAGGAGGAAAGAGAATATTAGTTTTTGAACTGAGCACTATGGAAACACAATAATATAGTAATTCTAAAATATAAATTCGCCTCTATGACTAGACATTATATTGTATTGCACTTAAATGTGTAAGCTTCAAAAGCCTTTGCAAGCTTAGGGAGAATGTCCTCTTGTTTCCCGTGTTGAATGAGAAGATTGAGATCATTCTTCATTAATTTTTTCTTCAAATCAGCTAAGCATACCATGATAAATTGTGCTCTCAAAGCTACCACGAAGAAGAAAAGTGATACGTCCAGTCTTAGGGAAACCAAATTGATACCTCCAGTCTTAGGGAAACCAAATTGTTACCTCCAGTCTTAGGGACACCAAATTGATAGGTGGTCTGAAAGAGACGAGGATCGATGCAGTAAACAGGAAAAATAGCCTCTGAAGAAACCCAAGCCTTGAACAAAGGCTCGTTGTCTGGCACCCTCAAATCATTCATAAACCAAACAAGGGAAACCCCTTTTCCATTTCTCTTCACTGTGTTTGATGAGTACCTTTCGAAGGTCTTCTCCGCAATGTTGTCCATTTCAATAGGGTCTAGTCCTGGAATCTGGTATAGCGTTGAGGAAGAAACATACTACATTTGGGACTTTGAAGTGGAGCTCTTTATGTGCCTAAAATCAAAACGGAACTTAATTTGAGTAGAAAATGCAATTCAACGAAGAAATGAGATTTTTTTGTTAGCAAAAGTGGAAGTAAGGGGGAAGGAGAAATAATACCCATATGGATGAGAATACAACAACAACAACAACAAAACACTATTCCCATATGCAATGGGGTTAGGGGGAGGTGAGGTAGTAGACTGCCCCCAACGCCTGGTTGAGAGCAGCTTCCGTGGGAGACCTCCGGCAGTAAGAAAAGTAAAAATAAAGATAAAATACAATGCATGTATAGATAAGTCAATAAATACATAATTGAGAGCAGCTTCCCTTCCAATTAATTCCTGCGTAAAAATCTCTTCTTATAGACAGAAACGTAAGTCCCGGTTAAATTTAAATAGAGGAAACATGAAGAGAAGAATACACAGAAGTCAACGAAAGCAAGCTACTAGAAGGAATAAAGTCAAATAGGTTAGAACCCAACTAAGGCAACCATACTCCGCTATCCTAGTTCTATGCCTTTATAAATTTCAATGACAGAAACGTATAAATAGTAGAATTCATGGAAAATACAACAAAGGCATAATAAAAAGAAGACAGAGATGCTACACCATGTGGCTGTGACCTACACTACTCGACTACCCTGATCTTAAGTCTTCATACTTTCCTATCAGATGTCATGTTCTCACTAAGGGTTAAATCCTTCAAATCAGATCTCACGTAGTCTATCCACTTCCTCCTTGGTCGTCCTCCACTTTTCAAACATTGATAGTGAAAATGAACACTTACCTAAATATTATTGACCATCTACGTAATTTACCCTAAAAATAAAGTATTAAATTTGTATTAAAGAATAGTGTCCCACAAATGCGCTAATCTTGTTTGGTTTCATGAGAACCTAATATTCCTTTTTTCTTTTCTTTTCTGGCATTGCAAAAAGTTTAAAGTTCTTTTTGTCGCTAATTATATTATATTCGATTATTGAATATAATGGTAAAGTACACAAATGGTCCCTAACTATAAAGTAATACTTTATTAAGTTCTTCAACTATTAAAAGTTATAAAATAATCCTCCAACTATAGAATGTTGTTTTGTTAAGTCCATCGACTATTTAAAGTTATAAAATGATCACCGACTATTCATTATGTTTCAAACTCGTCATTTTCAGTTAAAAAATTGATGACATTTTGAGTTGAACGCTAATTTGTTGATTGTGATATGGTAAAATATGATCTTAAAATCTCAAACAACTATCATATTTTAGTCATCGTGTTATCGTCCAGATCAGACGATCGTCTATTTATAACGAAAAAATACGAGTTTGGAACATAATGAATAGTCAAGTGACCATTTTATAACTTTCAATAGTCGAGGAACTCAACAAAGCAACACTCTATAGTTTGAGGATCATTTTGTAACTTTTAATAGACGAGAGGCTTAATAAAGATGTATTCTATAGTTGGGGGACCATTTGAATACCTTACCCTAGATATAAACATTTTTTTATTAAATTAATAGAAGCTTGAATCACTAGATGATGGAAGGCATGTCAATACAGAATAGACTAACTATGCCATGATACCCATTTGCTTTTGATTTTTCTTGATTCTCCACACCCATTTAATAAAATACAAATGATGAGGTAATGCTTGTAAGGCACCGCGTTCTTTCCAGTTATATTTAATTTAAGACGATCATTGTCAACTCCTCCAGCTTGTCACACGATTTGTAAGACCAAATTCATGTCTAAAGCAAATAATCAAAAGAAGAAGAAAAATGAAGCTATCTTCCATTTCCATTACCTTATTCCTTGCCCTTCTGCAGGTTTTATCAGTCCAGCTGGTGAATTCACAGAAGACAGATTCTTGCGGTTCAAATTTGAACCTTGATGTTCCCTTTGATACAACTTCTCTCCACTGTCTTCCTGTCTGGAGCAGCCGTGATTTCATCCTCGGAGAGAGCATCCATCTTTCTAAGTCCAGATAGTGCATGTTGGATGTAAATATGTATTTGATTCGAATATATTTTGATGTTGGAACTTGGAATGTAACATGTTGCAGTATGTTCAGACGTCATCGAACGTATGGAGTTTTGTTCTGTCGGCTCCCGACACGAATTCTTATATCGCGATCGGGTTTTCCAGCGGTGGAATGATGGTGGGTTCGAGCTCCATGGTTGGCTGGATCTCAGCTGATGGCAGTGGAACGGTGAAACAATATTTTATTGGAGGCCAACGGCCAAACCTTGTGTTGCCTGACCAAAGTAACCTCACCCTTGTTAGCAACTCTTCGTCGATAACTTCCCGATCCTCGCGTCTATACATGGCATTCCAACTGAATACTACTCAACCCCTCTCACGGCTCATATATTCCGTTGGACAGATCTCGATGATTCCCTCATCTCCAAGCTATGCTTTGGCCAAACACCGTGACAAAGTCTCCACCACCTTGAATTACGTTAAAGGTAATTCATATAAATATTTCACTATAATATAATCGAGTCAAGTCAAATTCAAATGATAAAGATCAGGCTTTTATGGAAGAGCCATGGAGCACTAAATATGCTGAGCTGGGGGATACTGATGATAATCGGAGCAATGATTGCTCGGTACTGCAAGCAATGGGATCCGATCTGGTTTTACTCCCACTCAGCGATTCAGTCGTGCGCCCTCGTGCTCGGGATGGCGGGTGTAATATGCGGACTTGTTTTAGAAAATCGTCTCAAAACCGATCTCTCCACCCACAAAGGCCTCGGCATCTTCATACTTGTGCTGGGATGCCTCCAGGTTTCTCTCAAACACTCATTAAAATAATATGATTCTGCTCAAATACATGTGTGAACATGCGATCACCCTCTCTTGAAATATTGTACATCAATATATTTAATTAATGTACATAATTTTTAATTATAGATACATTAAAAAGAGCATAATTTATGCACATACTTGATATAGATACATTTATTTAATTTCATATCATGCTGATTAAAATAATATTACTGTCATAATTATCAAATAAAATACTACAACGAAGATGATTAAAATAATTTTTTATAGGGACGAACGTATCAACTAAGACCTCGTAGACCACTAGTGGTTGAAATAAAAAATATTTTTCAATAACGACGGTTAAAATAAAAAAAAATTAGGATTTGAATGATCAAAACGAAAGTGTTCGAAAGTTTCATGACCCATTGGTATAATTAACCATAAAAATAAATAGATGTCTCTATTTTATAAATTTATATTATGAGTTATGCAATGATAATTAAGTTTATTTTATATTAATATTTAGGCTTAATAATAAAATAAGTGTCCAAGCTATATTGCTTTTATCGACTAGGTGCTTAAATTATTTTTTTAACTCATCCAAGTGTCTAACGTTATAAGCATTATCACTTTAGGTGTATGACGTCACAAACGTTATCACTTTAGGTGCATCGGTTCTAACGCCCTGCGTGCCCTTTTTCCTCCTTCATCCGTTAATTTGCATGGCCAAAGGCTAAACAACTGATTAAACAATCAACCAAATGATCAATTTTCACAGTAAGCTAAAACGATCTATTACAATGATCGATCAAATGAATTTAAGAGATTGCGTATTTAAGATTTTAGAAATTAGGGATTAAAATTTAGGGACTATGATTTTTTGGATTTGGAGATAATATTAAGAGTTGTACCCATTTAGTGGGTAATCGACGACGTATGGGTGGACCATTGACGGCGAATGGGTGGCTGGAGATGACTGACGGTTGGAGTAAATAGAAATATAATAAGAGATTTTAAGAGTTAAAGGTTTTTGGGTATTTAAAAAATGAGATTTTTAAGAAAAATATTTTTAATTTTTAAAAATAAAATTTAAAATTTATTAAATTGTGACACATGTCACTTAACGAACTTTTCTAACGGTCGATAAAATCGAGACACTTAAAGTGATAACGATTGTAACTTCAGATACCTAAAACGGTAACTTTTATAACGTTAGACACCTAAATAAGTCAAAAAATAATTTAAGCATCTATTCGGAAAAAAAATCTTGTTTGAGTACTTATTTTAATATTAAATATAATATCTATGTACCAAAAGTAAGTGGAACCAATCAATTAGGATTGATTCATGTGGTAAAAGTTTTTATTAAAATATTCACTCATCAAAATTAAATATATAATTTAAATCAATTTAGATTAATCGGGATAAAATCGAGAGTACAATATAAAAAAAAGTGAAACCAAGAAAGCCGGGAAAAATGTACGAGGTATAAAGCATAAAAGAAAATCCTCCCATTATTTTGGCTGGGGTTCCTTCCCTCCCTTGTCGCGCGAGATCGCTTTCATCCACACTCCCTCTAAAAAAAACAAAAAAATAAATAAATAAACAAATAAGGTACATAAAAACCCCGAGATCCAGCGAACGAAGCTAAGGATCCGAAAACCTGAAGAGAACTACAAAAGGGGAAAATTTTATTAGCTTCGTCCTTCTCCCTCCTCCCGAACCCTAGAAGAAGGGAAACCCCCCCCCAAAAAAAAGTACCAACTTTCTTCTTTTGCTTGCTTTAGAATTCTCTCGAAATTTCTCTGATCTACCATTATTACCCTTTTACTCTCTTCAATCCCTTTCCAATTCCCTTCCCTTCCAACCTGTCTCTCTCGCTCTTCATTTCACCGCTCAATTCTCCTCTTTCCCCTTTTTTGTTTTAAATTTCGCGCGGTTTTGGTTTTTATTTGAATTTGACTATTTTCTTTGTAATCTTTTTACTGGTAGAGAAGCGTTAGTGAGTTGAATAGAAGAAGTGGAAAAAAAAGAAGTTGAATTTTCGAGCTTTGCTTTGCCGTGATCTGAATAGGTACGACGGCGAACTTGCGATTTCATGTTTGAGGCATTATTGATTTCTTTTGTTTTTCTTTTAACGTTTACTTTTGAAAGTTTGTAATGATAAAATTTGATAGGGGGTTTCTTTCTTATTCTTTTTTTTTTGTATATAAGTGTGTATAATACATACTTAGAATTCGTTATTCTTTGAGAAATTGTTGTTTCGGCATCTGTTCTTCATGTCTTTTTCCCCCTTGGAGATTATATAAATACAAAGATTTCGAGAAATAAATAGTGGAAATGAGAAATTGAGAATAATTTAAGTTTGTAATTTTGGTGTCTTTTATGTGTAGAAAATAAGTTGGTTATGTGGGATTGAAGAAATATTTGGTAAATTGTTTTAGTGGTTAAAGCGGAGTTAGTAGCGAAGTTAGAGGAAACTATGCTAGAAGTCTAGATCTACTTGGTGTTAAGAGTGCCATGTATGACGCTAATTAAGTTTCCTGAAGCTGCTATTGCTCGAAAACTTATTTGACTTACGAACATTAACTAGGAATTTAGAATTTATTCTGAAAGTTACATATGCTATCGTTTGTCTTGTTTTGGCAATTAATACTAAGTTATGGTCAAAAGTTTAACCTGGGGAATGTAGTTTTTAAAGTTAGTGGGTCGATTTCCTTCTACTGAACCCATATGTTTGAGGCTATTGGTGCTTTGATATGTTCAATGAAAATATTAATCCTGGCCTTGCCTCTATTTTGCTTTTTGATCTGAAAATAAACGGTTAGCTGATTACCAAGTTGGTTTTCATCAGCTATACTTCACATATCTTTTGCCTAAATGTGCATATCTTTTGGTACTAATGATATGATTGTTTGAATATAAATAAATAAATTGTAGAAAAGATGAGGGAAAAGAAATTAATTGCTACATTGGAGAACTATATTTGATGTGAAAGTTAGCATTGGAACTTAAAAGTTGTAAGCTGCCTGCTAGTTTTACAAGTGTGAAACAGAAGGGCAACAAAGTGTTTAAAAGATGTACTTACCATATGTATGTATGCATTTTTAGTTTTAATATGTTATTAGCCTTTCTACACTATATTGCATGCTGCATGTGAGTCTATGTTTACCTTTATAGATGTTTTGAGTCGATATTCATAGATATTTTCCCTGACTTTTGACTAAAAATTTGCAGTTTATGATGGTACATATTCCATGAATTGTTAACTCATGGATCCTGAAGGCAAGAAATTTGGAGGAGGTAATATTGTTTAGAATGAAGGTTTTTATTGCACTTTCTTTGTTTTCATTGCATTTGTTTTTGGCTTTGTTCAGTCCATTTGAAGTTTTCAGATTAAAAAACTGAGTCCTGTAATTTCATGTAAAGTTCTTTGGTATTTATATTTTTGTTATTACATTTCTTTTTCAATTGACAAGAAATTGTGTATAAAATAAATGTAGGACCAAGAGAACTTAGCGGTGCTGTTGATCTTATAAGTCACTATAAACTATTGCCTCACCACGACTTCTTCTGCAAGAGACCTCTTCCTGTATCAATCTCAGATACACATTATCTTCATAATGTGGTGGGAGATACAGAAATTAGAAAAGGGAGAAGGGATGCAGCTGGACCAGCTTATTCAGAATACATCTCATAACAGAGACGCTAATAACTGTATACAGCCTTTTGACCTTGATATTCTTAAGGAGGCTTTCCAGCTGAGTGAAGCCACTCCTGTCGAATTGCCGGCGGTAAGAAATTTACTGTTTTGAGACTACCTATATTTAAATATCTTAAGCTAAATGACGATCCTATATATTGTGCCAATTCAGTAAATTGGTAAAACTTTAATAGTTTATCTGGTGTTTATTTTTTCATTGACAATTTTTTCCTTCAATATTCATAGTTGGAGTTAATAACCATTTTGTTTATTTGATAGAGTGAAAAAGGGATTCCTACAATTGCTGGAAAATCAAAGAGTGAAGCTAAAGATAAAGATAGAGAGAGGAAGCATAAAAAGCACAAGGACCGAAATAAGGAGAAGGATAAAGAGCATAAGAAGCACAAGCACCGTCATAAAGATAAAGATCGAAGTAAAGATAAAGACAAGGAAAAAAAGAAGGATAAAAGTAGGCATCAAGATTCTGGCGCTGATCACTCAAAAAAGAATCATGAAAAGGTTTGAAGTTTGTTACCTCTTGCTGCTAGTGCTTGATCACTCGTTTGGCCCCCTTAGGATAGTGGAAAAATCGTTAGTCAACAAGTCATGGCTAGCAGACTAGGATGTTGTGCCCAAGTACATAAAAATCAGTCTGTAAATCTACCCATTCATTTTTCCATAGTTACATTGATTTTGAGCCATGCATAAGATATATTCTTTTATATCAGGAAAAATAAGTAATTCTGCTGATGGCAGGAATTCACTACTGTCGTCTGGACAGTTGTTTACTTTGTCATCTGGAAGTTGATCAAAAACTTTATTTTGAAATTAAATTAAATTTTAAATGGAATTCCATGTAAAGTTCTTTGTGATTCATATACTTTCAGAAAAGGAAGCACGATGGAGATGAAGATTTTAATGATGTTCACAGACACAAAAAAAGTAAGGTAATGCACATCATTCTGGATTTTACTCTCATTTGTTGCTTATGCGGATATCTTTTATATTTGTGACACATGCAGAACCAACTCTTCATTTTTTCCCCAGACTCGTGTCCATAGACCTAGTTTTCTAAGTACTGTCCCATTGTGCTAATCAAAGTACATAATTTGTTGCAGCATAAAAGCTCAAAAATAGATGAAGTTGGTGTAATTAAAGTAGCAGGCTGAAGGGGTGGCTCTATAGTTCATTTGTCGTCTCAGATGGTTATTAGAGAGTGGGAGGGTTTTCTTAATGTTCTCTTCTTTGCTTGAGGTGAATGCCGTATCGTGCTGTTTTATTTTTTTCTTAATGTAATTGCTTGTTATTCAAAATAGTACCCACTTATCTACTTCTAATCATT